ACAAACAAGACAACTTTTAAAACACTTTGTAATTTACCGAAGGCATTATTAACATATGCTAGTCTTAACAACAAAAAAAGAACTGAGAGATAATGTAAACTTCCACGGTGGATCTTGAAACTACTTTTGCCTGCAGGGACAGAGACAGTTCCCGGCAAATATAACGAAATCAGAAACCCTTGATTTTAAAGCAGAAAGTAAAAGCAAATAAAGAAAAGAGTTAGGGAAGGGTGGAGGTAATGCCCACTCTCTTTCACTGACTTGGCAGTTACCAGGGCTATTTAACAGAAGGTTGTGGTCTGGGAAAAAGCAAAGTGAATAGGACTAGAAGTGCTGGAGCAAGGACACATAGAGAGGAGCATGAATGTATCATTTTATCAGTTTCATCAAATTAGAATCTGATGATTGAAAAATATCAATGTGCAAATATCGCTAACATTTCTATATATCAACAACAGGCATGCAGAGAGCCACACCATGAATGAACGCCCGTTCATAATTGCTACAAAAAGAATAAAATAGCTGGGAATACAGATAACAAGGGAAGTGAAGGATCTCTTCAAGGAGAACTAGTAACCACTGGTCAAGGAAATCAGGTAGGACACAAACAAATAAAAAAATGTTCACATTTCATGCTCATGGATAGGAAGAATCAATACTGTAAAAATGGCCATACTGCCGAAAATAATTTATAGAGTCAGTGCTATTCCCATTAAACTATCACTGACATTCTTCACAGAATTAGAAAAAACTAATTTAAAATTCATATGGAACTGAAAAAAAGAGCCCGTATAGCCAAGACAATCCTAAGCAAAAAGAACAAAGCTGGAGCCATCACACTACCCAACTTTCAACTATACTACAAGGATACGGTAACCAAAACAACATGACATTGGTACAAAACAGACACGTAGATCAATGGAACAGAATAGAGAACTCAGAGATAAGACCACACACCTACAATCATCTGATCTTTGACAAACCAGACAAAAACAAGCAATGTGGAAAGGATTCCCTATTTAATAAATGGTGCACAGTGAACTGGCTAGCCACATGCAGAAAATTGAAAGTAAGGAGCCCTTACTTACACCTTATATAAAATTTAACTCAAAATGGATTAAACACTTAAATGTAAAACCCAAAACTGTAAAAACCGTAGAAAAATATCTGGGCAATACCATTCAGGACATAGGCATGGACAAAGATTTCATTACAAAAACATCAAAAGCAATCGCAACAAAAGCAAAAATTGATAGATGGTATCTAATTAATCTAAAGAGCTTCTGCACAGCAAAAGAAAACTATCATTGGAGGAACAGACAACCTTCAGAATGGGAGAAAAATTGTGCAATCTATCCATCTGAGAAAGGTCTAATATCCAAAGATTACAAGTAATTTAAAAAAAAAAAAAAAAAAAAAAGCCAGCCCCATTAAAAAGTGGGCAAAGTACATGAACAGACGCTTCTTAAAACATTCATATAGCCAACAAACATGAAAAAAAGCATCCGCTCACCATGTCCCATGGTAAGCAGCAAGCACCCTGTCTCAGCCTGGTCCTCAGTGGCTGGGAGAACAGCCCTGAGCCTACACCACTGGTTCCTGATGATCAGTTTGTTAGTCTTGGGCTTTCACGTCTGCCACAAGTCTAACAATGCAGTACTCCTCCTCAGTGGTCTTAGGTTTCCTCTTCAATCTCACACATTTTTGTCCATCTCTCCTTCTCTTCCTCCCTCCCTTTAGTTCCTATGATTCACTTGCCTGCAACATGGAGATCAGCCTCAACATGGTGGTGACGTCTTGGGCCCCTTCTCAGGCCAGAGACATGGGGCTGGAGTCCAACAGAGTAAAGGTCAGGAACTACTTTCCCCTGGTGATGAATAATTACTGAGTGCATTGATTGATAGCATATTTCATTCCAGACACAGGACACACCTATGAGGTATGGTCTCTCTGATCAAATTTTATCAACACATTGTGGTTAAGGAAAATGTCCAAGGTATAGACTAAGAGCAAAACTAGACAGGGACGAGGTCATACACTGGCACTGCCATGCAGGCGAGTTGTGGGAACAAGCTTGAGAAATGCACTTCTGAGAGCCCGAGACTAAATTGTGTGGGAGGGGGGTGAAATGAGGATGATGAGGCTGGAAAGTCAGGCTGAGATCACCTGGGCTCCTGATTCCACCATTCTAGACCTGATTTCTACGTGGGCCTGTGTCCCCCTGAGATGTCTTACATGACTGGAGTGTAGGAACGTAGTCCTGCCTCTTCTGGGAGGCAGTCTTGGCCTAGTCCCAAGGGCTCATTTGGAGAACAAGACAGATTTACACTTCACTGAGCACCACTAAGCATCATTTGGCTCTTTCAGCATCTAACTTGAAGTGGTCACCGTGAGAAATCTATAACCTGTTCCTTTCCCTGCTGAGGTGTTCTTGGGATTCTCTGGGCCCCTGGCTCACAGCCTTAAGCACCTGGTCTTCCCTTCACAGCCTAGGAGACCTGCTCTTCTCTGGATCAGGTGCCCATATCATACAGTAAGAATAAGGGCTCTTTGATTCCAGAACTATTCCATTAAATCCAAGACAATAAATTGGCTTACTTTAGATATATTCCACATTGTCAAATCCCATTAATTAGAAATTATGTACCTTGTTTGTGCAAGTCTTTCATAATTATTTTAATTCCATATATTTCCATTTCAATCTTAATAATGTCTTATTTCTACGATAAGCTAAATTCTCAAAAATTTAGGCCTTGGGCCCCATAAGGTATCAGAGACCAGGGCCAGGGCCTTGCTTTTCCAGGTCTAAGAGGGACTGACTATTGATTCCTATTCTGGTTATTTATTGGTGTCATCTAAAAATAAGCATTTATTATGCTAATGAACTTGTGCATTATGAATTCAGAAAGAGAACAGAGGGAAAATCTTGTCTGCACAACAATGACTGAGTCATGAACTGGGATGGATTAAATTATTGCACATGACCATGACAGCTAGGCTACCATGTAGCTGTCAGCTGAATTTCTTGATTCTTCTTCGTTTGACATGTATTGCAGTTGGAATGTCCAATATGACTTCCCTACTCACATGTCTGGCCTCTGGATTGAGATGGTTCAAACATCAGAGGCCTCTCTTTATGAGTCTCTTCCATATAGGCCTCTCTTTATGAGTCTCTTCCATATAGCTAATTTAGGCTTCATCACAGCAAAACAGTCTCAGTGCAGCTAGATATCCCCCTAAACAACTTAACTAAGATATCCTGGTAGAAGCTACAAGGCCACTTAGGAACTCATCTCAGAATTCAAGCAGTTTCACTTCCAACACATTCTTTTAATCCAACACATTCTTTTAATCCAAGACTCATTTCACATTGAAAGTAAGGGGATCATACAAATATTATTTTTCTCACTAGCAGGCCACATTGGGGGTGGGCATCTTTTGAGATGAGCTACAACAAATACTGATGAAAGGTAAGTTAAATTAGTCTAAAAATTCTCATTAGCTTCTACCGAACATGTGATAAAAGGGGCTGAATTTACTTTCCTAACTGACCTAAAACAAAACAAACCACAAGTGGAATAAAATACAGTAAACAATGAGTATCAAGACACTAGGCATCAGGCCAATAAGAACAGTAATCACTGAAATACGTGAAAGAAATGAGATGAGCCCTACAACTGCCCCGGTTTGCTGTCTTGAGTTCCCAGGATGCAGTGCAGGGAAGAAAGATGCACCAAATGGAACTTCATGTAGCCCCTAAATTGAGGAGATGTAATTGGGAGTACAGAAAGACCAAAGCCACTAAAGCTCGCAGGACAGAGCACTAGAGAAAAGAAAGCTACACACAGATAGAAACCTGAAAACCTGCAGAGGATCTTCCTCAAGTAATGAATGAGTGCGTGCAGATGAGGACACTACCCAAGGTGGAAGAAGGGAGGAGGGCGCCTAAAAGAATTAGTGAAAACAGTATCCAATCATCACAAAGGGCCTGAAATAGTAGCTGTTTCTACCAGGCAGAAAAGAAAGCATGATAATTCATAAGGTATTGGGTAAAATTCTAAAATGGTCTTTCCTCAGTAGTGTACAGCAGTACACTGTACAGTAGTGTACAGACTTTAAAACAAATAATAAAGTCAACTTATACATAGCAACATGTATAAATTTTAAGATACAGCAGTGATAGAAAAAGAATAACATTAGATTTATAACCCAATGACATTTATATAAATTCAATTTTAAAATAATTTTTTCACAAATACATATATACCTGTATAAACATACTGAAAATTAATTTGAAAGATATATTTTAAATCCACTGGAGTCTTCACATTTCTAAAGGGAAGGGAAACAGGAGGAATGCTGGAAAATACAGGAAGAGAAATAATGCAAAAGAAAGGCCTTGAAGAAACTTATGATGCTTTTTTCCATTAGTTGATAAGTATAAAAAATTCATATAAGGTTCAAAACAAAAATGAAGCCTAAAGGAAAAACATGTTTCCTAATTAATATCCAGTTATTTACAAATTCTACTTTAAACCTCTCACTACAATCAAAGTTATTATAGGTCTTTTTTCTCTGAATATCACATTGCATTTTCTTAGTAAGATTTCATCCAGTTTTCTCTTGCATTTTAAATCATAATGGCTTGATAAAAGTCATGATAGATTAACACCAATCCATTGAATAGCATAGTTTGGGCTGTGCCTATCAAGCAAAACAAGCAGGAAGCCCACAAAAATTTCTGTTCACTTATTGGATCCACAGAAGGTGCTCAATGTGCATAGGCAAATGAATATGAACACAGATGGATGTGTACATAAGATCCCAGTACCCAGGAGATGTACTTACTGCCTACAGGACAAGCAGTCAATGTAGCACTGACTTACCAGGGGTTCTTTGTTACAGAAAGAAAAAATCATTTTCTTCTCCCATCTGCCTACCTGTTTATCCCAGGAGGACCTTTTGGTCCCAAGGGAGGAGGGATTAAGAAGCTCCCAGAGGGCAGGGTTTCTGAGGCATTACAGTTATAACTGCCCCAGATATTTCTGGAACTAACAAGAGCACCAATATTAATGGAGCCAAACTTCATGCTTCACATTTTCTGTGAGTCTGGCTAGAGGATGCCAACGGTGGCTTTACTGAGATTAGCCAGAGCCCTGGAGAGATCTCTGTCTTCAGTCCCTGTCTGTGCTCTTTTCCATGCCTGGGTCAATACTGCTGAAGGAGTCTGAAAAGGAAGTAAGTAGAGACGGCATCCTGTCTCAGGTAAAGTGGCATATGTGCTCTGGGACCTTCTCTCTTTTACTGTCCTCTGGGTACTTAGTGGTAGCAGAAATGCCAGAGAGTTGCAATTTGTCTATAGGAGATTAACAGGTAGCATGAAAGCTAAAAAGTGCATAATCTGGAGCCCAATTAAGAAAATTTGGAGTTTTCAAATCTGAATATGGAAATTTAGTGGCTTTAAAACAAAGAATATACCTACACATGTCTGAATTATAAAGAATTACATTTGGTTTCTATAACTTTAGAGGTTGAAGACAAAAATCACAGTTGGGGACCAGTGGAAGTCAGGAAGTAGTTCAAAAGATTTCTGCTCAAAATTGCTAAAATCTACTTCTGACAAGAACAGAAAGCTATTCCCAGAAGAATAGCCAGCTACCTGTCTTTGGATGCACTGAAAAATGCCTGAAACTATTCCTGAGAGAGATATCTTACAGGCCTGCCTGAATTTTATCAAGAAAGAACCCTAGCAACTTTTCTACTTTTTAAAACAGGGCTTCTTTGGTACTATTTGTGGGACTGTCTTGCAACCTGGGAAAGCCTAGGCTGACAGTCTTTCCTTTAGTCTTTGAGCTTCAGCTTCTCTGGCTCTCTCTTCTTGTTCCTGGCTAGAACTGGAAACCATTAGCCCCAAGTCTTAAGCTCTTGTGTGCCATTGGCAAGTTTTGATTACAAACCGAGATTGAATGATGAAAGGTGAAAAAAAGTAATTATGTTCCCAGATGCTTTACTTCTAGGGATGAGTACTTTATCAGTGCTTGTTGAATGATTGAAGAACATGCAGAAACATTAGAGAAAGAGAAGGAAAAAGGAAGAGTGAATAAGTTAGGAAAAAAATAAAATAATTCTCCTAAGTAATCCTCAGAAATTTCATCTTAGTGCTAAAAATAATTATGCCAAAGCTCTTCAGGAGACAGAAAACATACTCCAGACTGCTGAAAAACAGCCCTTAGGATTCATGTGCATGTGCATGGAGAGTGTGGGTAGAAAGAAAAACCTACAAAATATATAGAACAAAATCCCAAATAATACCGACATTTATGCATCACTACGGTAACACAGAGCACAGGTGTATTACTATTTTCACTGGCTTGGACATGAATGAATCATTCAGACTTTTGTTTCCTTCACAGTTGAACCCTGACAAACTGTAGGTAGACACATAAAACCACTAAAATTTGATTTGCCTATGTGAAAGATAAATTGCTAAAATAATCAACTTACCCTATCTACTTCAAAGTATTGTGAGTCACAAGTGAAACAGTATATTTAAAATTCATTTTGAACTTAACAAAGTCATTACAAATATACCCTACTATTTGCAGGAGAAAAGAATTGGGAGAATGCCTAAATCTCTCCAATATATAAGGTGAAGGGCCATGCCTGGCAGACTACATGGGGAATCAGGATCAGGAGGCATGAAGAGAGGATCCCTGGAGGAATGCTCATCCTCCCTCCACTGACAGCAGCCAGTTACTAACAGGGTCTTTCTAATGAGGAGAGTCTGACAGAAGCCAGTTGAACAAGGACTAGAACTGCATTTGGGAAATAAGAAAGACAACTGAAAACAAAAATACTACCTGAACCTATTCCAAAAAGTCTATTTCCATCAACAGGAAAATTTCATACAGTTTAGAGTTCACAGTTTTATTGTAACTTACTTCCTTGTGACCCTGTCCCCACCCCAAAACTTTTCCCTCTAACAGATCCAATTCTTAAAACTATCAATTGTATTTTGGGTAAAGTTTTTTAAAATAGGGTCCATGGAGCAAATATATATCATAGAATTATTTATTGGGTCTGGCTGGGCATGGTTTGTCACGCCTATAAACCTAGCACTTTGGGAGATGGAGGCGGGTGGATCACCTGAGATCAATAGATTGAGACCATCCTAGCCAACATGGTGAATCTCTGTCTCTACTAAAAATACAAAAAATTAGCCTGGTATGGTGGCAGGTGCCTGTAGTCCCAGCTACTCAGGAGACTGAGGCAAGAGAATCGCTCAAATCCAAGAGGCAGAGGTTGCAGTGAACCGAGATCATGCCACTGCAACCTTGCCTGGCAACAGAGCTAGACTCTGTCCCCCCTCCACAAAAAAATTATTTATTGGATCTGAAGGAACCCTAGAAATTAATCCAACCAAACCTCTATATTAGGTAGGATTAGGTTTAGAATAATAATATATAGATGGTTAAGAACCTGGATTTTGAAATATCACTTCTCTTGTCTGTAAGTGGTGATAATGAAACATATTCCACAGAATGTTGAATAACTAAATGGGATAAAGTGCTAAAACATTGGAGCACAGTTCCCAGCAAGTGGAAAGAATTACAAAAATAACCATTTAATTTTATTACATTAGTGAGCCAAAGTGGGAGAAACAGGACATTTCTTAAACATTCAATGAAAAGGAATTTCACACACTTGATCTTAGCCAAAAGGCCAAGAAGTGATGAAAAGGAATTTCTAATCCCACAAAAAATAACACCTGGGCACAAACCTCTGTCCCAGCAGATAGAAATACACACAATAAAACTGCATGATTTGAAGGATCCCCCAAAAGACCTGACCTACACCTTTGCCAAGCTGTAGTGTTCTTTCGGGGGCTCTCTTTCACAATGCAGGAGAGGGAAATCTTACACTCCTTTACCTTTAATGTGAGTGTGGGTACCACATCACTCTATTTATAACCTTTTTTCTGCAGCCTATCCCTTTTGTCACAGTCAACTCTCCTCTGCAGTCTCCTAATAATGTGTGCATATCTCTGGCATTCCTAATATCATTCGTTCTTATTACACCCATCATCTCCCACAGTGGTTATAGGTTTATATTCTTAAGAGTAATTGTAGTTTCTTATTAAATTTTGTGATCCTGGTATCTAATAGAATGCCCAGGAAAAGGGTTAAGCAATAATGGAATAGTGGCAAAATTAAACTACTGTCTAGAGAGTGGGAAATGTCTAACTGTATCATTATAGTCAATAGGGAAAAGGGAACTGGAAAGGAGATGGAAGGACTTTAAAGGTGAACTTCATCACTCCCACACCATTACAAGAAGAAAAACCAATTTTTCAGCATGTCTAATTACAAGCATTGTCCCTGATAGCTATATGAAAGTGTCCAATCTCCTTTTAGAGCCATTTCTTCCAGAAGTTAGGAAGCCTAAAAAATATGAACATCTGAAAAATAGAGAGATATTAGTCAATTATTTGGTAGGATCTATGCCTACTAAATAAAAATGAAATTTTAGGCAAAACACAACTTAACTAAACTTATTTTAGACATTGATTTTAAAAATCTCTAATTAAGCAAAATAAATGCAGCAGAAAGGTTAGAATAAGGATGTCATGGGGACTAGGGACATTTATCTAAGTCCCTTCTTTGTGCCAGGCTCTGCTATTTATTTCAGCATATTGCAATCGTCAATTTGTAGATGTGGTAGGCTACGTGTACATTAAAAAGGAAATTGAGAGAAAAAGAAACTTATGGGTTCAAATTTAGAGTCTCACTTGTCACGCTAAAATGGTATCCTAAGTATTTTCTCCTTTTCAGTTTCTTTAAAAAGGTAACCATTCTATTGAAAATAAACATTAAACAAAGTAAACATGTATAGATGAATCATGTCACCTCAGACAGCTGTACTGTTTAAAGTGATTGATAGGAAACTGAGGATAAACAGATGAATTTGCTTGGCTCTATGTAACCTGCTAGAAACCACAAGTTATACCTATGACAACTAGTGCAATCTTTGTGTATCAAGAATCCACAGCTAATTTGTAATCATAATTTTCCAGTTCACTAAAAGAAAGCAGGAAAATATATGGCAAAATATGACAGCACACCAAAATGGCACCCTCTCCACTGAAGCTTCAGACTTCCTCTTGAATTGTTTTATCAGATCCCCCAGCTGGCAGCACTGGCTGTCCCTGCCCCTCAGCCTCCTCTTCCTTTTGGCCATGGGGGCCAACGCCACCCTGCTGATCACCATCCGGCTGGAGGCCTCTCTGCACCAGCCCCTGTACTACCTGCTCACCCTCCTCTCCCTGCTGGACATCGTGCTCTGCCTCACCGTCATCCCCAAGGTCCTGGCCATCTTCTGGTTTGGCCTCAGTTCCATCAGTTTCCCTGCCTGCTTCCTGCAGATGTTCATCATGAATTGTTTCCTGGCCATGGAGTCCTGCACATTCATGCTCATGGCTTATGATCGTTATGTAGCCATCTGCCACCCACTGAGATATCCATCAATCATCACTGATCAATTTGTAGTCAAGGCTGCCATGTTTATTTTGACCAGAAATGTGCTCATGACTCTGCCCATTCCCATCCTCTCAGCACAACTCCGTTACTGTGGGAAAAATGTCATTGAGAACTGCATCTGTGCCAATATGTCTGTTTCCAGACTCTCCTGTGATGATGTCACCATCAATCGCCTCTACCAATTTACTGGAGGCTGGACTCTGCTAGGATCTGACCTCATCCTCATCTTCCTCTCCTACACCCTCATTCTGCGAGCTGTGCTGAGACTCAAGGCAGAGGGTGCTGTGGCAAAGGCCCTGAGCACATGTGGCTCCCACTTTATCCTCATCCTATTCTTCAGCACCATCCTTCTGGTTTTTGTCCTCACACATGTGGCTAAAAAGAAAGTCTCCCCTGATGTGCCAGTCTTGCTCAATGTTTTCCACCATGTCATCCCTGCAGCCCTTAACCCCATTGTTTATGGGGTGAGAACCCAAGAGATTAAACAGGGAATCCAGAGGTTGTTGAAGAAAGGGTGCTAACAAGGACAACTAAATCTCTGAATATCTAAAATAAGATAACCTATTAATCATTTAATGAATGAGTGGGCTGAAAATCATGTCTGTGAGCTATAACCTCAGACTCGGTACACTGAATATGTATGTGCTTTTCAGAAACATCAGTTTTATTAAGTCTATTTTTCTTTTTGCCCTTTTCTCAGAAATATTCTTGGCCCTCTCTCATTTTATTTCATTCTTATGATCATATTTCATCCAAAACGTTGACATTCCTTAAAGCAGATTTTAAAGTGAAAAATTTATGTTTCTGAACACACAGCTCTTATTATGTCATGAATCTTATATTATTAAAAATACAACTGTGGTTATTTTGTTGTGTCTGTTGTGTGTAATGTCCTTTTATTCTTATTTTCACAAAAGGGAATATATTGGAGAAAAAAACATAGTAGCTGAAATTTCAGTCCTCAATCGTGAAAGGTTCCTACTGGTCTGTAATTAGACCTTTTTCTCTCACCTTTCAACTATATCATTGCTATTCTCTAGTTCTCTCTCCGCCTCTCTTTCTTCCTCTCTCTCCGTCTCCTTCTCTTTCTTTGGAAGACAAGGTAAACTTTTGTAATGTGCATTGCAAGAGAGCAGGAGTTTTGCCCTGATTCCTCACATGAGTAACAATTATCAATGAGTGTTATTGCATAAGTGAGATTCCTGAATCCTCCTTCCTAATGTGGCTGTGCTTAGAACATTTATCTTTCAGAGCCAATATATCACAGGTTTTGGTATGCAAACAAAGCTTTGTTAATGAGTTAAAGGATCGCTAATATTGTAGCATATAATCCAACAATAATATTGACACCTAAAATATCTTTGCTGAACATTATTTTTTTATTAATTGGACAGCTGCTAAGCATGCACTGTGTCCTGTGAATTATGTTAGTTATTAAGAAACAAAAATAAATAGAACATTGTTATTGGCTTGAGGACCTCAAAATTTGGGTAGGAAAAATACAAATATGCCTTCCAGAACACATTCTTCTAAACTGTAGACCAGTGAGGAATTAAATAAAAGACATGTATGGGCAGTAAGATACTTGACCCTGTAAGAAAGCATTATATATATAGAGAAGGTCTGGGTAGTAGGCCTTGCACAACCACATGCACACACACACACACATACACACACACACAGCAAAGTTGGGTCTTGCCTGGGAAGAAATCAAATGAAAGAAATAACTCTAATTCCCATTACTCATCCAATACCTGAGAATAGTAAGCGATTTGTTTTTGAATATTCTTCTAAAATACAAGAAGAAGTTTGGTGCTTCAATAACAACTTACAAGTGTGTGTCACTTTGTTTTGGCCATACAAGGGAAAATTTTCAAGTATCTAACGCCAAGCCTGTCCCAAATGTGTGGGTGTTTTAAATTTAACCGAAAGCACCTGAGATTAAGCCCTGTCCTACTCAAGCAGACATTCTGCAGAGCTCTGTCCATTCATTTCTCTTCTCCATCTTGCAAAAATAATAATAATAAATTAGCACTTAATTCCCCTGTTCCTGGATATCTCGTAACCTACTGATTGAAAAATAAGCATGTACAACATATAAGAAGCGATAATTAAAAGCTTATAATCAATAATTTAATTAGAAATTTCTCAAAAGTGAAAAGCCATCTGTTAAGATCCAACTAGATACACCTTTTTCTTTATTATCCAAACAAGAAGGACTCCCGAAATCTCATTCTCTGAAACATTTCAACATAAGAAAAATGTCTTGGCTATAAATATGCATAACTATATACCTATGGAAGAATCTTACAATTATAAAGATATAACATGCTTGTAAGGTAAATTTAAGCTACCATTTCTTAGGGTATACTAAAAGTCTGAAAGTTTTAACAATATGCCATATTAACATATACTCAACAAAACACCAAACTTTGAGGACTAAGACTCATGTCATTGCAACATTAAATTTGTTTGTATAACAAGATCACATTGTTTGTATAACAAATCTAGATTACATTGTTTGTATAACAAATCTAGATGTCTATAATGAGCTGTTAGAAAATAACCTCGGGTGCCAGGAAAAAGACACATTGAGGGATTTAGAGTACATGCCACCCTGAGACTAAGAAAATTTTCCATAAGTCTCGTCTTCCAAAAGAATATGGTAAAAAGTTCATATTTTAAAAATATTTGCCTGAAAAATCTGTTTTGCTTTATTTATATGTAATTTTTAGACATTTATGGACAATGTCGAAACAATATCAGCATATATTTACTCGACAAACAAGATGAACAAATTATGGTTTTATCTCACAAAAATAGCTAATATTAATGCAGATTTCCTCTAGAACTCTGCAGTGCAATATGAGCCACATATTTAATTTTAAACTTGTTAGTAGACACATTGAAAAAGTAGAAACAGGCAAAATTAGTTCTAATAATATATTTTTATTTAGTCCAACATTTCAATAATGAAAATATTATCATTTCAACACATAATAAATGTAAGATAATCATTAATGTGATATTGCACATTCCTTTTCTGTACTAAGTCTTTGAAATACACTGAGCATTTTATACTTAAAGCACATTTTAATTCAGACTACCCAGATTGCAAGCATTCAACAGCCACGTGAGGCTAATGACTATGATGTTAATCAGTACCACTCTAGAAGTTTTACTTTGAAAGTCAGATACGGATAGAAAATAAAGTTGATTAGAAAATATATATTCATCCTGTAATACATCTTATATCATAATATAATACACTTATATTTATGTTATTTTGTTTCAGCTATAATTTTTCTTTTTTATATGCTTTGCCAGGGAAGTCGGAGTTTTAGAGGAGAGCAAAGATTTTTTTTTAATGTTGCAATGACATGAGTGCTAAATCTTAGGAACTAAGGTGAGAAGATTTATTTTAAAAAGAAGTTTCAGTTACTAGCTTTGTAAAACATATGGTCCTGAAATCCCACAGTGACAGATTTCAAGAAGAGCCAAACCTAAGATCCTAAGGAAAAATTTAGATGGATATTTACTCATCACAAGTAAGGGATATTAGCATTAGAATAATCAACAGACATTAATTTGTTAAAGGTTTATTAGAAGGTAAATAATAAATATAACTTGTAATTCATTAAATTGTTCTTTACATCATTTACACACACATAGATATGACTATTTGAAACGATTTTTTGCTATATTATTTTAATAAAATGTATTTTAAATTAAAAGTTTAATAGTGAGATTGTTATAATATACAATAAAGCATGAGTAAGCTGTCTCTTTAAATCAAATTGCTGTTATTCATAAAATGAGGAAACTCAGATTATGCTGGTTAGACCTTATATTTTCCACACATTACATTTGAATTTTAGAATTGTGTTTTCTATTTTTGTGAAGATTGTCATTGGTATTTTGAAAGCGATTGCATTGAATCTGTACATAACTTTGGGTGGTATGGACATTTTAACACCCATTATGTTGTTTGCATATAGGGACAATTTAACTTCTTCCTTTCCAATTTGCATGACTTTTATTTTTCTCTTGCCTAAGTGCTAATGCTAGGACTTCAGTATTAGTAAAGAAAAGGGGTGAAAGTGGGCATCCTGGTCTTGTTCCAGATCTTGTTCCAGAAAAAGCTTCTAATTTTCCTTGTTGAATATGTTAGCTGTGAATATAACCTTTATTGTGTCGAGGTAAACTTCTTCTGTACCTAATTTATTAAGTTTTTATCATAAATGGAGATTAAATATTGTCAAATGATTTTTCCACATAGAGAAATGATTTGAAGATTTTTGTTCTTCATTCTGTTCATGGGATATATTACATTTAATTGATTTGCATATGTTGGTTTGCATTTATTCTTGCATCTCTGGATTGAATGTCACTTGATTGTGGTAAATACTCTTTTAATGTATTGTTGAGTTCAGTTTGCTAACCTTTTTGAAAATTTCTGCATCCATTTTCATCAGGGATATTGGCCTGTAGTTTTCTCTCTGTGTGCGTGTTCTCATCTGGTGTTGGTATCCTTGTAATGCTGGCCTCTTACAATGAGTTTTGAAGTATTTTCTCCTCTTCAACTTTTTGGAATAATTTGAGAAGAATTGATATTAGTTCTTTTCTAAAAATTTGGGAGAATTCAGCAATGAAGTCATCAGATTCTGCATTTTTCTTTAGTGAGAAATTTCTACTACTATCTGTATCTCATTACTCATTATTAAGAGTTTCTATTTCTTCATTATTCAATTCTGTAGGTTTTATGTGTCCAAAAATTTATCTATTAATTAGGTTAACTAATTTGTTGGTGTGTAGTTGATCAGAAAACAGTTCTCATGATACTTTGTATTTCTGTGGAATCCATTGCAGTGTCCCCTTTTTCATCTCTTGATCTTACATGAGTATTCTCTCTTTTTTCTTAGTTTTGCTAAAGCTTTGTTGATTTTCTCTTTTTTTAAAAACCCTCCATTTTGTTTTATCTTTTATATTATTTTTCTAGCCTACATTTTATTATTTCTGCTATTGTCTTTAAAATTTTTCTTCTTTGTGCTAATATTGGGTTTAGTTTGCTTTTATTTTTCTAGTTCCTTGAGATATAACATTAGGTTGTTTATCTGAGATCCCTTCTCCTTATTTGTGTATGTGTTTATTGCTATAACCTTATTATTAGAACTGCATTTTCTATATCCTGTAGGTCAGTAGTAATGAATTCCCTCAGCTCTTATTTCTCTGGGAGTCTTTATCTCTCCTTTGTTTTCAAAGAAGAGCTTTGCTGGGTATAGTATTCTTGGTCAGCAGTATTTTGGTGATTTTTTAAAATATATTTTTCATTCAGCACTTTGAATATATCATTGTACTTTCTCCTGGCCAGTAATATTTTTGCTGAGAATTCTGTTCCTAGGCATATTGGAACTCCTTTATACATTATTTGCTTATTTTCTCTTGCTGATTTCAAGGTCCCCTTTTTGTCTGAGCTTTGACACTTTTATTATAATATGTCTTGGAGTAGTCGATTGAATCTCATTGGTGATCTTGATCTTCTTTTACCTGGATATTTATCCCTTTCTCTGGGTTTGGAAAGTGTTTTGCTATTATTTCTTTAAATAATATTTCTACCCCCTTATCTTTCTCTACTCACTCTTGAATGCCAATAACTTGTACATTGTACATTTCATCTTTTGATGCTATCCCATAAATCCCTATTAAGCTTTCCTTATTATTTTTAATTCTTTTTTTCTCCTATCTCTGTATATTTTTAAATAACCTGTTTTTCTGTCTACATATTCTTTCTTCTGCTTCAACAACTCTACTGTTGATGCTCTATTATATTTTTCAGTTTATTCATTGTAATATTCAGCTCAGCATTTTTGTTTGAT